AGAAGTCGCTCTGGCATTCAACGCCGGGAAAACTGTATGTATATGCAATATATATGTACGATGAAATGCTTATTCATAATGTATGTACTTCTAATTCCACGTCTATGATACAGGCAAGTATGAAGACAGTTCTGGCTAAATTGGCTCGGGGGATGAAAAAACCCTCGAAGGTGGATTTAGTTGCTGCCAACTGAAGTAAATGTAAAATAACAAATGAAAAATACTTTCGGCGTATAATAACAAATAATAATAATAATATATACTTATACGTTGCAGAGAGAGCTGAAAAAACTGTTGAAAAAAACTATTTATGGCCCTCAAAAAATGGGGAAGGAACGGACAGGAAAAGGAGGAAGAGGAGGAAGAGAGGGAAGAAGAAAACGCATCCGCCGGATCAGCAGCGGCGAACACTGCCGCAGCATCAACGGCGACCTCAGCAGCGGCGAACACCGCCGTAGCATCAACGGCGACCTCAGCAGCGACGGACACCTCCGCCGCGAACGAGTCGCTGGACTCAATACTAGCGCGGCAGCGAGAAATCGCTGCCGCATACGAGTCCGGGAGGGCTGTAAGTATATGCAATACAACAGAATGTATATTTATAATATATATACTTCTAATTCTGCTGTTATGTTACAGTCCCAGTGGAGGAACATATTGGGCCAATTGGCCAGACGGGTAGCCAGGCCTAACCTGGCAAACCTGGTGGCGGCCAATGTAAGTAAATGAAAAATACTTTTATATATAATATAATATAGTAATATGTATAGTAACAAATTATAATAATAATATATACTTATACGTTGCAGAGAGAGCTAAAAAAACTCTTCAAAACGTTCATCTATGGCCCCCAAAAGAGGGGCAAAGAACGAAAAGGGAAAGGAGGAAGAGGAGGAAGAGGAGGAAGAGGAGGCAGAGGAGGGTGAGGAGGGGGGAGGGGGGAAATGTAAATACATATTGAATTTTTATTAAAATGATCGTTTTTATCATTTATGTTCATTTTATTTACGAATTGCTCCATCGCCATCACTTTTTTCCTGATTTCCTATAATTATTCATCCTTACGTTTTTATTATTCTTAGTTTATTATAATACAATGAATCATTCCATAAAAATTATAAGTACATGTCATTAAATTATTATTATTATAAAAAAATCCATTATTATTTTAATATATATTATTATATATTAAAATTCCTACTTCACCTACCCGATTACTCGACGAGCGTTCTTGCTGCAACTGCCGCGCCGCTCACGACTGCCCCGCACGCCACCTTCCCCTGGTCAAGTAACCTAGCGCGCGGCAGAATATCTTCGTGACAACTGTTCGTATCAAGTAAGATGGACGTGCCAATATTCGAGTGAGTAGTTCGGGAGTTGGATATTTCGCTTCAGAAAAGTCTAAGCTGGGGGGCTTCGGTTGTAGAAATGTCCATTTCTTTATTATTGTTGAGATATTTACAATATTCGACGAGCGTTCTTGCTGCAACTGCCGCGCCGCTCACGACTGCCCCGCACGCCACCTTCCCCTGGTCTAGTAACCTAGCGCGCGGCAGAACGGGCTCATGAAGCAGGAATCAGTTTCATGAAACTCAGTTTGTGGAACGGTTTTGACGACATGGCAACATTGCGGCGAGGAATGAAATGTGGCAACCATGTTTAGTCGCTATCCTTCTCTTTCAGCTTTCTTTCTCTCTTCCGTCACATTTTTACCGATACCCGTGATCACAGAAACATATGCGTGTGCCACCTGACGGTCGAAAATATTTCTAATTTGGTTTGTCTAATGTCCGATCGTACAACTGCAGCGCCACGATCCACTCCGGGTCCCGTTACTGTAACCTTAAGACGAAAGAATGTTTGGACGAATGGACCGGGCTGCATGCTGTGCGATAGCGTCGAGCGGATGTCTAGAGGATTTGTTTGAGTGTCGCGTAGAATGAATGCGTCTAGTCAGTACACAGTGAAAGCGAACCGTGAGAATGAGAAAGAACGATCTGGATGGGATGCATCGGTGAGCGAATGAGACAGTTCGGTAAGAACCTTCGTTGGGAGCGGTACGCGGGCATCGCGAGTTTTGTACTAGCGTGATTGTAAATAAAAGTAGTCCGATTGTAACCGGGTTCGATTCTCTCTTTCCGTCGCCGATCCCACCTCCTCAAATCAATAATTATTTTTCACACTCCATCACTAGATAATTTCAAACTGCATACACACTAACATTTCCCATACCAACAAACAGACAAACATACAATCCACACTCCTAAACTTCCCTTTCATTCCTCTTCCCGCACCCACCACCCCGCCCACAATATGGAGTTTTTCGCAAATTTCCTCCGTCAACCACATTTCTTCTAGATCTCCACTACATGCAATCAATACCAAGGACGTCATTCCTCCGGTAAGCCGGAATTACTGGTAGGAACAGATCTACCCCACCACATACACACAAGAAAAAACTTTCTCGGCCGGGCGGAGTCTCAACTCGAGACGATTTTGCGCATATATGACGAGTGTCTTGTGTCACATCCCTCGAACGTGTTGCTTAACTCTAACTTATAAATGTGGCTTATGCCCCGTAGTACATAAGTTAATGCAACAGGTTATGAGATATGCTCTACTCCCACTTAGACGTTAAGCAACATCTATACACCACATTCATACCGTATTATTTATAGTAACGTAAGCCCGTTCATACTCTATCACCGACCGCCAATAATCGCCAATCTGTACCGACGCGTACCGACTGCCCAATTCATCCTTTGAACATCTAATTACCATCATTGTATGTGCGCTCTACCTTCCTCTACCCGCTCCCCAAAATTTTTCACGCGCATTAGAAGCATCCATTAAATTGCAATAGTTGAGAGTCTGTACCGCGTCGCGCGACCAGTATCGCATCTTCGCGGCTTCCCGACTACACTCTCAAGCCCAGTCGAGCGAAGCAGCTCCGGTGCACGCTTCGGTCGCAGACTCCGGTTCGCAGATTACAGAAAGACCAGTCGCTCCTGGAAGTCCTCGAGTTCCCTCCGTCGTACGTGTTCGTGTGTCTAGAGAGATCCACCTGAATGCTCTGGACGAACACGTACGCATTAAATTCATAGCTCCTTCTTAAACGTGTGTTGGACGCTTACCCTGGATGCGTCGCGTACAAGAAGATAGTTCGCGACTAATTAACTTCGAGCATACTTTAACATAGCTTTCGATACCGAAACGTTATGGACGACGATACCAGCTTAGAGGCTGAATTGTTAAATCACACAATATTCGTTCCATTCTCGCGTCACGTGATTTCAATCGCCGGAGGGCCTGATCGGAGCGTAGCCAGTACCCAGACGATCATCCCGCATCGAACCAGCAGCGTGGCCGGCCCTTATTCCAATTGATCTCGCACAGATCTGACCAACCCCACTCTTGCTTGACGAGGTCCAAAGCAGCCATAGCGTCAACGAAATTCCAGAAGCTCATCCACGGAGGAAGACCTACCAGATTCATCCGAGCTCTACCTGATCAGCATTCCGTCGCGAACGTCACTGGTAAGTGCTGTTTTGTAAATTGCCCGTTCGTAGCATACGTGATCCCAAGATTTATATCCCAAGTCAGACACCGTCGTAAAGTAACGTGTGGACCAAAAATGGCCGCCCATTAAATACGTCTCAGTCTGTGGCGACTTACGGAATATACAGGGTGTCCCAAAAATGTCTCGCATTACGGGAATGTGGGGTAGCTGAGGTCATTCTAAGTAACTTTTTCCTTTGCGAAAATGTAATCTGCGGCTTTGTTTACGAGTTATTAACGAAAAACACTGACTAATGAGAGGCGATGGCGCGAATCATAACGTGGTCGATCGATCGAGCGCCACGTGCTACTACCACTGAGTTTGACAGCTGAAAGGGGACTCTATGCCGCGTTCGAATCAATGAACAAGTCACGGAGCATGAACTCTTGATATTTTTTTTACCACGCAACAGTGATAATTTTAAGAAAAACGCTATTCATCCTTATTTCAGAATGTATGAAGAATATTTACTAATTTTTCGGACCCGTCATAATATGTAGTATGATATGTATGTAGTATAATATGTGTATATATATATATATATATATATATATATATATATATATATATATATAATACAACGTCATAAATCACTTATTGAGTCTGGACGTAACACCTCCCCCGTGGGAAAAAGAAAAGCGACGCAGTCGGTTTTCTTCCTCCGAATCAGTGTCATGCGCGTTGGTTTTCCTAAAACTCAATTATATTTATAATTGATATAAATTAATAATATATAAATTTGTTACGTCCTCAGGACGTATTGCGTAGAATGTAAGTTGTATCCGTCCAAGCGCGAATAGATGGTAAGCTTCTAGAGTTAGTCAAACACACTATAACCTACAGCCTATACCTTATTCAACCGCTAAAATAGTATAAACTATATAATTAAACATTTAGAATAAGTTGATACATGCGCCTATGCACGATTATATAAATTGATGCATACGCCAATGATGCATCCGTTCACTCCGCAAAGACTGCAAGCTCAGCAAATTCCAACACGCTCGCAGCCAACCGTTCTCCATGGGATCCTGCAGACGTCAGCGAATCTCACGATGCCCAGGAGCGAGAGAGAACGCACGATGCATCCGCTCGCACTGAGAACTGCAAGCTCAGCAAATTCCAACACGCTCGCAGCCAACCGTTCTCCATGGGAAACTGCAAGCACCAGCGAATCTCACAGCGCTCAGCAAGAGAGAGAGAACACCGCCAGTAGACGCGCTCTCCCTCGCACCGACGTTGCCCCTCCATCGGCCGGACTCGGCGCGCTGAGGAAGCTTGGACAGCTCGAGCACTTCAGTTCCACGCTCCAGGGAGTAACGACGTCTCTCTTGGAGTCTCCGCGTATATTCAACCTCTGCGTACCATATCTCAATAGTTTACAAGTAGCGAACATAGCTTAAGAGAATATAATCTAAGTGAAATAAGTGTAACCAAGTTATTTAGAAT